GAAGGAACTCAGGAGTTCCTATCTCCATCTCTTAAACTCCTCTCTTCTTGTTCTTCCTAAAATACGTGGCAGGCCGTTGTGGAGGCTGGTGGCCCTGCTGGGCGGTAGAGCACCTGCGGGTGCTCCTGCTAGCTGCAATCTGACTCCCCAGTGTGACAGGCATGGTAGTTCTCCTGTGGCTCCCTATATGTTTTTGTTTATTCAGATTTTACTCATTTGATGAAAAGAACATGACAGATTTATAAGACACGCCTTTGCTTTTTAATTTAAATCAAAAGTCCCATACCCGCGCCTCCCCCCCCAAAAAAGCTGCCTTAGATAATTTGTGAGACTACAGCTGTGCACCTGCTAATCCCCTTTGTTGGAAGGGCATTGACAGGTGATTTCTGCTAGCAAGTCCTCCTTGGCGAGGGTCCCTGTTGCTGAGCAAATCCCTTTCCTTTCTCACATATAGCAAGGGAAAGTAGAGGCATGGAAAGCTAATTTTGCCCTTCATTGAAGCTGCGAGTGTCAGGGATGCTGCATTGTTCGACTGCGTCGCCATTTCACTTTGGCAGGCATCAGAGGGAGGAGATGATGTGACACCTCACAGAAGCCCACATCTGGGAAGACTTTTCATAAGCAAATGAGAGCGCTAGGCAGCAGCTTAACCAGTGGCTTTCGGTCCCAAAGCAAATGCTTTTTCCCAGTCTGGGGAGATGGGGCAGCTTGCCTTCCGAGATGTTATCAGCAGATTGAGTGAATATTGTTTCTCTCTGCTGTACATTTCCTTCCACCCTGTGGCTACAAATAATATCTGGTAGCCATCAGCACAAAACCACTCTGGGACTCACAGTGAGCCAGTCCGCGCTAACACCATAGGCTGTCCTGTGTCTAAGCTATATACAGTCACAGAGAACATTGCACTGGTGCATACGGCATCGGCGCAGGAGGCTCCAGGGACAGCATGCTGCCCTCCACCTCCAGAGATACTATTGGATCATTGGATATTCCTATCTCTTACAGGAAGTACTGTAATATTTCCATATAACATATCCTCCACTACTTGCAGCCAGCTGGGGATTACTTATGAGAACAAAATAATGCATATATTTTTTTAAAGATTTACTTATTTTTATTGGAAAGTCAGATATGCAGAGAGGAGGAGAGACAGAGAGAAAGATCTTCCGTCCGATGACTCACTCCCCAAGTGACCGCAACGGCAGGTGCTATGCCGATTCAAAGCCAGGAGCCAGGAACTTCTTCCAGGTCTCCCATGTGGGTGCAGGGTCCCAAGGCTTTGAGCCGTCCTCGACTGCTTTCCCAGGCCACAAGCAGGGAGCTGGATGGGAAGTGGAGCTGCCGGGATTAGAACCGGAGCCCATATAGGATCCTGGCACGTTCAAGGTGAGGACTTTAGCTGCTAGGCCACCCCACTGGGCCCAATGCATATGGCTTTTTGCCTATATTTCTTAGAGAATGATGACCAGAAAAAACAACCTCTAGCTGTTCAATATAGATGCGTCTATTTTTGTTCCTTAGTTGGCTGAACAGGTAGATGGCAAACCCATAGATAGGAAGAGTGCAGTGTGCCAAGCTATTCCTTCTGTAGAAAATATGGGGTTGAGTGTCTGGAAGCCTTCCATCACAGGATTCTGGTCAACCATCAGACATAATCTTGTGCACATCTGCTTCGTTAACATTGAACACCTAAACATCTCAGCAGAGCTTAGTCAATGGTTATGTTTTTTCCCAAGATTCATCACAGCCTTCTTACTCCTGGAAGTGTCAGAGAGCCTTCCACACCCCACTCATTATTTTCAAAAGCAAAATCACCAGTCAGAAGCATAATACAGTGAAAAAAGTGATCAGAACACTTTTACAGTAGAGAAGCTGAAGCAGAAATACGCGTTTGCCTTGTATGGCTTTAGCTAGGGATGAGTTCATTGAGCAGCTGTGTGCAGTGCCCAACTCACCATGTGGATTTTCCAAGCATAATCGGGGTTATAAATAAATTTGTCAGATGCACCAATATGGAATGCAGAGTGATGAAGAGTGATTGGATTTTTATATTAAGCCAATCCCCCAAAAATGGTGATTTGAAGTTAAGCTTTGACAACAGTTATCACAGAATAAGATAGGGTAGTTCTATGAATGTGACATGGTAATCCACAATTTGTCAGATTATCACAGCTTAGGTCGAACTAGAGAACAAAACTATTTTCCCTAGAAATGTGTTGTTTTCAGTAAAGATAAATAAAAAGTAGAATTGAATGTCAGGTTGAACTTGCATGATACAGATTTTCAGTAGTTCACTTTGTTGATTTCTGGGTTGTATTTATTTTATTTTGCACAGTGTTCGTGGGGCTGTTCAGTAAAATGATTGGTTTCTCTACTTTTTGAATATTTTGCAATACTGTATAATTTGCAATATTTGGTTGCAATATTATAAGCGGTATGGACATTGACAATACCCTAGATATTATTTAATTGAAGCGAGTCGAGCCACGGGCAGGGTTTCTCTCCCTAACTCTGTTGGAGTAGGAAGCTGCCATGTGGAGTACAAAGTATATTGTACCGGGCTGTGACAAAGTATTGCTTTTGACACAGGCATTCTTGTTAACCAGAGTAAATGACAGTGTGTTGGTGAGCTGAACAAAAAAATTTGTTCTAAAAAGCAGGAGGCTAGGTGGTAAATATCTCAGGCTCTGCAGGCCAGATGTGTCTGTCGCAGCCACTTGGCTCTGATGTTGTAAGACAGCTGCTATAACAAAGTGGTGAATGAATGTGCATGACTGTGGGCCAATACAACTGTATTCATGGATGTTGAATTTGAAAGATTCACGTCTTACAAAATAGTCTTCTTTTGATTTTCTCGCACTATTGAAAACTATGAAAACTCTAGCTTGTGAGCAATGCAAAAAATATGTATTTTTTGTAATTTTACATATATATATATAATGGATATAATGGTCCTACAAGTTTTGTCTTAAAATTTGATATTGTTAAAACTATTTTACAGAACTTGTTTCTGTTGGGTTGGATAACAATGACCAGAACATATCCCCAGACCATTCTCTTCCTCCTTTTTTGCTTTCTTCTCCCAGCAATGCCTTTGTTGCCCTCGTCTTCCTACATCCTGCATGGGCGATTGATTGCTGCTGTTGCCAGGCAGGCCTGTGACCCCTGCTGGATCTGCACACCCTTGCTGTGTACTTTCTGGCCTTAGAGTAGCCCCGTATTGGACAGAAAGAGACAAAAACATTATTTTCAATTTTGAAACTTTCATGGTAAAGGAACTGGCAAGAAGGTAGTACAAAAATGAGTTTTTATGGGAATGGAAGCTTTCATTTCTTGGGGATAGATGCATAGCAGTACAGTTGTAGGGTTGTGTTTTGAAGTTGCAGTCTTTGTATTACATTATTAGTTATAGTCCCTTATGTGCTTTAGTCTCCTAGTGTGGGCAAAAATATATATTTTTTTCCCACTTGGATTGCCTCCATGCAATTGCCTGGTTCAAGCCCCAGATCCTGACCCCAGCTTGCTGATGTACCCTCTGAGTCCCTACCACTCCCATGGGAGAGGCAGTCGGACGTTCAGGCTTCTGTCTTGGCCTAGGGTAACCCTAGCTAAGCCCTAGTGCCAGCATTTGGAGAGTCCATCAACAGTTGCAGGATCTTCTCTCTGTAGCTCTGTTTTTGTCTTTCTACCTTTCAAATGAAATGAAAGTAAGTAACTGAAAATGCGTGGATCTCTTAGACAGTCGCCCGACATCTGACCCCTTGAGGTGAATAATCAGGTTAAGAACATTGACAGCCCTGGCACTAGTTCTCTTCGGACAGTTTCTCTGCAATGGCTCTACCTTCTCAGAAGCTCAAAATATGGTGCCCTTTTCATTACTGGTAAATGGTTTCCTTCTCTTAATTCACGCCTCCACCACCCGAGTTTCAGTTAGCATGGTGTGTTCTACATTATTAAGAGGGCAAAGATGCTGATGTTTCTGACCTAGGAGCAGCTGACCTTTACAGCTGTGGGGGCTGGTTTCCTCATTCATAGTCATGTCATGGTACCATGCACCTCAGGGCCTTTGCACAAGCCTTGGGATGAGCACTCTTGCAGTGCAAGCTTCTTTTCCTTCACTGTTGGCTCTGATGTCACCTCTTCCTGGGAGGGTCTTTTGGCATACATATTTCTAGTACCCTGTCCTTCTCTTTCCTAAAATTCTATATTTTTCAACTTGTGTAGTATCTAAGATTCTACATGATTCTCTCTGATTCTACATGATTCTCTCTGATCAAGAGAGTCACTTTTGACAAGGTTGCTTAGAGCAAATCAAATCTTAATATTACCTCCTAAGGAAAACAGTTCGTGTGTATGAGGGTAGGCTAACATATAAGATTTATCAAAGTCTTTCAGGTCCTTGTCTTGGGCTCAGTGCTTCTCAAAACCTTGGCTGCAATATTGCATTGTCTGAGATTTTTGGGCGTGGAGCTTCTGTCATGCCTATGCTGGGTACTTTACATACCAGTAAAAGCTGCTCATTGTGCCAACTCCTTGTGCCCTGCTCTCCGGCGTGCCATGTTCATGTTCCCAACCCAGAAATCATCCTTTTACTACAGAAGGGTTTTTTTTTCTGCTTTGGCATAATTATCATTATATTAATTTGAATAATGACTATCTTCTTCCTAAAACTTTTGATTTCAAGTTTCCTCATATTTTGCTGTGTATCTCTAGCCTGTTGTAGATGATTTCAAGCCTTTGTTTTTCCAAACACCTTCTCTTCGCTTCGGTGTTCCCCCACCCTGCTTCCAGGTGATTCCTTCAGGTTCTAGCAGAACAGAGTGGGACCTTATTTAGCTTGGTGTTCTGGAATCTGGGACATTCACTTGTAGGTACTAGACACTTGAGTAACATTTGCTAGAAACCTGAATAAATAGGTGGAACAATGTATGCTATACATAGGTGATAATTGGTGAAAATCTTAGAAAGACGAGCAAATAATGTAAATGTTTCTTTTGCAGGTTATTTTTGAAGTGGTGACTTCTGGACATCAAGGCTACCTTGCTATTGATGAAGTGAAGGTGTTAGGACATCCATGCAGTAAGTTGGCATCCCTGTGAAATGCTGGGTTTTATCACTGGGGACAGATGTACACTGTGATTAAGAGGAGGTTGTAAACCCCAGGGAAAGCCATGATAACCAGAGAGAATTCCCTTACCATCTCTAGATGTAGGCTTAGCAGCCTTGAATTCCCCGAGCAAGGAATCTGTGTGTGAATGCCTAGGTACCTAAGCACCTTCCAGGAGCATGTTATGTAACTTTATTGTAAATTTTTAAAACATTATTCCTGTTGTTGATTTTGTTTTATAGCTTTTCATGTTATAGTAGCTGTAACAAAGACTATCATATCCAGATGTGAAGATACAATGCAGTATGCATCTCTACTTCCACATGAAAGATGGACTCCCAATGAAACTGTTAAATATATCTTGACAATAGGATGCTGGACTCTCTGCCATTGCCCATTCCCACAATGATGGACATATAACTGTTTATGAAGAACTATACTGTAGTGATAACAGGGAGTGAACCAGTAGATGGGGAACACCATAGATTTGTCTGCCTTCTACAGTTTTGTCCCTGCTTCTTTAAATAAGTACAAACAAATTTAAAAACTAAAAGCTACAGTGAATATCCATGGCTGTAGCTCTTGGTATTACATGAGGTCCTCGATGGGATAGACTCATGGAAAGCTGAACTGCTGGTGTTATGCCCAGATTTGAGATCCCCAGAAATCACCAGGAGTCTGAAGTTGATCCAAGTACACAAGGATGGTTTATTCAAGCTCAGCACATCCGAATCTGGGTTCTTGGTAGAGAGCAGGCAACTGGCTGACCGACACCCTGTTACAGGGTGTGTTAGACTCAGGGAGAGTCCAACCCCGTGGAGGGGAGTCACACCGTCATTGGCAAAACAAGTCAAACGCAGAGGCTGCAATAAGCATGAGGATTTTATTGAACATTCGCGAATGGGCAACAGAGTCTCTGGAGGCATCCAGGACTCTGTGCGCCCCAAGCAGGTTAAAGCACCTTTTTAAAGGACAAAACCGCAAACTTCGCATAACAGCTGGCATTTTACTTTAAGATTAGAATCTCTTTTATTCCTGCAGCTGCCTGCTCCGGCCTTGCTACCTTATCTCTTTTATTCCTGCAGCTGCCTTGTTCATGTCTGGGAAACTGAAACTTTTACTTCCTTCATGAAATAGCTTTTCTATATTTATTCCAACATGGCTCTACTCTTGCTCAGCAGAAAGCAATATACAGAAGCAAAATCAAGCGGTTATTCTAAGCTCTTACATTCCCCCCTTTTCTTTTAGGACATATTTTTATCTTAAAATATAAGCATTAGCAGGCATTTTCTTGTACAGGCTGATATTGGCTGGTTAATACAAAGGCTTGAATTATTGACAATCTTTTTTTTTTTATGAACTGTAATAAACGATTAATAATGCAAGGTCCTATAGTTAAAAGGAGTAATAACAATATTAAAGGTCCTGTTATAGCAGAGATGAGAGTGGTTAGCCAGGGTGATTGAGAGAACATGTTTTCAAACCATCCTTTTTGGGCTGACAATTCTTTCTGTCTTTTATTTAATCTGTCTCTGAGTCGATCTAAAGTCTCAGTCACACTTCCAGTTTGGTCAGCATAGAAACAATATTCTTCCTTTAAGGCGGCACACAATCCTCCTTCTTTTAACAATAGCAAATCTAGTCCTCTCCTGTTTTGCAACACTACTTCAGACAGAGAGGTAAGAGACTCTTTTAGTCCTCTGACTGACTGTTCTAAGGCCTGTAGGTCTTCATTCATAGCCTGGTGTAGTCCTTGGTAATAGTCTGTTCTCGACAGAGCAGTTGCTCCGGTGGTTATGCCAGCGGCTATTCCTCCTGTACCTAGTAACACGGCTAGAGTAATAGAGACAGGCTCTCGCTTGGCCCTCCCTGGATGTTCATAGGCAGCTAGAACAGTCTCAGACGGAAGGTACGTTATTCTTGGCCACAATTGAACAAGCACACAGAAGTCTTTGGTGACGTTAAGAACCTTTAGAGGATTTGGGGTTCGTTGAAGTTTCCATTCTGGTTCCTGGTCAGTCCCTGTAGTCCCTGTTGCTGGCTGATCCTTGGCGTGTTTCACGTGGGAGGCATGTACCCAGGCGGCAATTCCGTCGACTTTCAGGGCGGTTGGAGTAGTCAGTAGGACAGTAAAGGGTCCTTTCCACCGTGGTTCTAAGGTTTTTGCCTGGTGTCTCCGGACATACACCTGGTCTCCTTCCTTGAACGGGTGAGGGCACGGTGGAATGTCTTTGTCCTTGTAGGCCTCTGCAAGCGGTTTCCAGATGTACTCTCTCACTGCTCTGAGAGCCTGGAGATGCGCCTGTAACGAGGGTGGATGGGGGAACATGGTAGGATCAAAATCACAGAAAGAGGATGCCGGTGGTGGGCTCCCATATAATATTTCAAAGGGAGTCAGCCCATGATATGCAGGAGTGTTGCGCACTCGAAAAAGGGCCATAGGGAGGAGTCGTACCCAGTCTTTTCCGCCAGTCTCTAGGGCTAATTTAGTCAAGGTCTCTTTTAGAGTTCTATTCATTCTTTCTACCTGGCCTGAACTCTGGGGTCGATAAGCACAATGTAGTTTCCAATGAATCCCCAAACTCTTGGCCACCCCCTGACTTACCTGGGAGGCGAAAGCGGGACCGTTATCTGACCCTAATACTTGCGGCAATCCGTACCGGGGAAAAATTTCTTCAAGGAGTTTTTTTAACGACTGTCGTGGCCGTTTCATTCTTCGTGGGGTAGGCTTCTACCCAGCCTGAAAAGGTGTCTACAAAAACTAAGAGATATTTATAACCATACAGTCCCGGTTTTACTTCAGTAAAGTCTATTTCCCATTGTATTCCCGGTCGGTGTCCTCGGGCACGGGCTCCTTGGGGGAGTTTTAGTCGCCCTGCGTTTACCTGGGCACAAGGCTTGCATTGGTCCACTGTAATTTGAGTAAGAAACTGCAGGTCAGGAGTTATAAACGGGCATTTCTCATTTGCAAGTAGAGCGTGCATTTTTCTCCGGCTCAAATGAGTGAGGCGGTGGAGGTGTTCAATGATTTCAGTAGCTATGCGATAGGGCAGGATGACCTTGTCTCCTTTTTCTCCATGCTTTGCACTTAGCATCCCACTCCCCTTCGAGTTTTTTAATGAGAGCTCTGTCATTATCAGTATATTTAAATGGAACTCCCCAGTTGCAGACTATGTCATCTGTGTTTTGCCTGGTCTCTTCGGGTCCCATTTTTGAGTTTATTTCCAGGGGTAGGGCTGAGATTGGCTCAGTGGCAACAGTTTTTGCAGTCTGGTCTGCCAGTCTATTTCCTCTAGCTACTGGATCTGTTCCTTTTTGGTGGCCCGGACAATGAATAATGCTCAGTCTTTTTGGAAGGAATAGTGCCCTTAAGAGGTTTATTATCTCTTGCTTGTTCTTTATTTCTCGTCCTCCTGAAGTTAAGAGGCCCCTTCTGCGATAAATCTCACCGTGCACATGGGCCGTAGCAAAAGCATACCTACTGTCAGTATAGATGTTTGCTACTTTTCCCGCCGCCAGTTCTAGAGCCTTTGTGAGGGCTATTAGTTCAGCTCGCTGGGCCGACGTCCCTGGCTCTAGGGCACTGGCCCAGACTATGGAGTCATTGTTACTCACCACTGCTGCTCCTGCCCGCCGAGTCCCTTCGGTGACATAGCTGCTGCCATCTGTGAACCAGGTTACCTCCGCATCTGGTAGAGGCTGGTCAGTTAGATCTTCACGAGTCCCATGAACTTCGGCCAGAATCTGGGAGCAGTCATGGGGGGCATCCTTGGCCGTTCCCGGCTCCGGCAATAGGGAAGCGGGATTGAGCGTAGCAACTGGTCCAAAAGTAATGCGTTCAGGAGCTAAGAGCAAAGCCTGGTAGTGAGTCATGCGGGCGTTTGAAAGCCACCTGTCTGGCGGTTGGCGGACAACCGACTCCACAGCATGTGGAGCTATTATTGTGACTTTCTGTCCCAGGGTTAGTTTGTTTGCGTCCCTGAGCAGGGTCGCAATAGCTGCTACCATGCGCAGGCAAGGGGGCCACCCTGAGGCCACTGGATCTAGTTTCTTTGAAAGGTAGGCAACCGGTCGTCTCCAAGGGCCTAGGGACTGAGTCAATACTCCTTTTGTAATTCCTTTGGCCTTATCCACATACAGTGTGAATGGTTTTGTGACATCAGGCAGTCCCAGGGCCGGTGCCGTTAGGAGGGCCTCTTTAATGCAATCAAAAGCCCGTTGTTGTTCTTTTCCCCAGATGAAGGAGTTTTTTTTTTCCTTCGTTAACATGTACAAGGGAGCGGCCAGCTCCGCAAACCCAGGTATCCACAGCCGGCAGAATCCTGTCGTTCCCAGAAACTCACGTACCTGTCGGGAGTTCCTTGGGACTGGTATAGACGCCACCGCAGCTTTCCTGGCTTCAGTTAACCATCTTTTTCCTCCCTTTATGACATATCCTAGGTAGGTTACCTCCTCTCTGCATATCTGGGCTTTCTTGGCAGATGCCCGATATCCTAGGGCTCTCAATTCACGTAACAGGGCCCTTGTCCCTTCTAGGCAGGCCTCTCTGGTAGGTGCTGCCAGCAAGAGATCATCTACATATTGGAGGAGAGTCAGATTGGGGTTATTTAATCTGAATGCCACCAAGTCTTGATGTAGGGCCTCATCAAAGATGGTGGGGGAATTTTTGAAGCCTTGTGGCAATCGAGTCCAAGTCAGTTGCCTACTTACTCCATGTTCCGGATCTCTCCATTCAAAAGCAAATAAAGGTTGGCTCGCCGGGCTCAGTCTGTAGCTAAGTCGACCCGCCGATCAGTCGTCCACCGGTACGCGCGTCCTCCTGTGGCTCCCTGTACCCACGAGGTCTTCTGGCTCATAGGTCCATCAGTAGTTGTCAAAACTGAATGTTGAGCCCCGGTGTCTACTAGAAACGTGGTGGGCTTGCCTCCCACAGACAGAGTTAGCCTGGGCTCAGGGGGAGGCTCCTGGCCCC